TATCACTTCCTGGGCTGAGTACTGTCCTCTGCATTCAGAATATTGCCCCCTCCAGAAATCTAAGAAGAGACAGTTTAGCATAACGGTTAAAAACATGGGCTTTAGAATTAGGCTGCCTGGGTTGGAATCCTTGCTTTGCCAGTTGGTAGCTGTGTGACCTTTGACAAGTTGCTCAATATCTCTGTACCTCAACTTCTTTGTATATAAATTGAGGAGAAGAGTAGTTTCATGCAGGGTTCTTGTGGGGATTAAATGACATAATAAAGGTAAAGTTACATATCAGTGACTGTCCCATAGTATGTGTTCTATAAAACACAGTTGAAAGATCACTATGGTGCAGCCCGTGAGTGTTTGATGATGGAGTCAATCAAGAGCTCTGTAAGTGTGAAAAGAGATTTGAATTACCTATTCAGATCGACAAGACTACCTGGCTGTGCCATTGTACTGATCTTTGAAGAATAAGTAGGATTTCCAGATCAAAAAGGGAAAAGAATATTGCAAACAGCAGGAAGAGCTAGCAGAACAAAATAGTCTAGTGTGGCTAGATCCCAGTGTTCTAGGAAGAGAATGGTAGGAAGTTATATTCTGTTTCCTTAAATACAATTGGAGCTGCAGTCCCTGCATTTAGAAACAAATGATGTTTTCAGAAGAGCTATCTTGGTTTGGATGTTTGACTTCTCTCTTGATATGTGAATTGTTTATGACTGAGTCTCCCATCTGACCATAACAACTTAAGATCTGAGACGATGACGTAGTTATTTGTGGCTCACAACAGTGCTTAGCCAAGTGCTAGGAATATAGTAATTGTTCAATAGGCATTTGTTGAGGTAGTGAAGGGATCAATGAATCAATGAATATTCAAGACTGTATAAATAATAATTTTCTGTGGTCAACAAGGGTTAGAAGACACTTACTTATGATCTTACCATGCATATCCTAGATGTCACATTTCAGTGGATATTTAGAAAGAAAAACAGTGGATTCGAGATTCCATGGTAATGAAAGCTATTGCCTGGATGCTCTGATGTTTTAAGAGCTACTAGCCCATTGAAGCTCAATCAAAAATGAAGATCACTTGCTTGCGAGGTGATCAGTGCTCAGAAGCACTGGTGGAGGAGCAGAGAAGTGAGAAAGGGAAGGAAAACAAAAAGATTGTGATAATGAGCAGGTTACCGCTGTGTGAAACTTTGCCTCAGTCTCACTGGGGACCTCGGAGAGAGTGCACAGGGGAAGCCTCAGACCTGATGATGTGAGCTCGGTGAGTGGAGAGTCAAAAGAAACAGTTCTTGGACTCTCAAGGTCTGGCAGTAGTGCTCTTTTATTCAGAGAATAGCATGGAGTAGCATGGGGACAGGACCCATGGGCAGTAAGAGCTGCCAACATGGGTTGAGGGTAGGGCCAAATTTAAGGCATAGGTATGTGAGTTATCTCCTTACAAGACAAAGGAAAGATTACTTAAAAAAAAGTTGTTAAAATGGTATCAGTGCAGGTGGGGTCTGGTTATTGGGTGGTCCTATAACTTTAGATAAGAATCAGATCGGATTAAGTCAGGATGTCCTTGCCTTCCCCATTAAGAGTTTCTAGAGATAAAGTCATCCCCCGCGCTCTTCCTGTTGCAGAGAGGGAGACACCCCCACAGATGGAGACCTCCCTTACAAATGTAAATGTCTCTTAACAAAGGGCAAGTAAATTCCACTTTTCAGAGCCTCTTTCCTGTCTGCAGTTTTCAAAAGTAACCAGTCCAAAATAATCCTCATCACCGAGGGGTAAGAAAGCTGGAGTATTTATCTACCAATTTATGTCAGTCTCAGATGAGGCTGCTCCTGGAGGTGTTAACTCTGCAGCACTCTGGCCTGTTGAGCATAAAGGACAAAAACACTCCACACATCCAGAGAATGCTTTCAGGCAGAGTTGCAGGGGATTGCAACAGGAGGCCATATACTGACAGGACATGGGCATTTCCTCTGCTGTTGTCTACCATACTCTACACCTTGCACGACTCAGATTCACTCACTCTACTCTTAAGTTCATTCTGTCTCTTCACTGATTTTTTTAAGGAAGTCACTGGTCGTAATTCCAAAAGAGAGTGAGAAAAAAAGAGAGAACTTACAGCAGGAGAGTTGGTCGGACAAGCTACAGTCTCCACTGTTGTAGTTACTCTTGAGACCATAATTGATAGTCATCATTTTCCTCCTTTACCACTTCCATTCCCTTGACCAACGTGCTTCAGTCTGGGTTCATTGTGCGGTGCAATAACTCAGACTTTCATCCCTGAGAGTATGAGTCCCTGGTTACCTGTTCTCATCAAGATGTTGTTGCTACAATTGCCTGTTCAGCTCTCACCAAGCATGGAAGCATCAATAAGCACCCTAGTGAGTCCCATGATTTCCAGACATTCTCCTCCCTGCTCCATTATTTAGCAGCAACCCTGTGTCCTCTTGATAATCAGGATGAATTACTCCTGCCTGTACAGTAACTACCTTCTCTAACTGCTGGCCTGTGGGCATTGGGAACCACAATAATCAGGCAGCGACTGAAGCTGTGTTTAACGCAACCCTTACTGTGTCCCCTGGTAGAAGTATCAAGACTTTTAACTCTGCAGAACTTGAAGTTGTAAAAAGGGGAAGCTCCCCTTCTTAAGTGGATTACTTAAAGCGATAGTGGGAGGATTCACTCCCACTTCCACCTTTTGATGCTAGCTATTCAGGTCAGAGCTCTAAGCATAGGACCATCATTTATTAGTAGTACTGCATCTTAAACTGTAAGCATGGAGGGTGTCATTCCCAGCGAAACACAACAACATGTTTATAATCTCAAACCTGGTTTCAGAGAACAGCCACTACTGAGCTTCTCATTGATGTTGGTATCCCTCTTTTTGGCACATTCCTTATTGCTTTAGTGAAGGGAGTGTCTTCTGGACTCTCTTGGGGAACATAATTAGCTGGTAGCTTCTCTGACATTACAAGATAAATACATTATAACATGCCCGCCTCCCTGAGACCTTGGAGCTCTCTTCCAATACTTTGCCAAGGTAGTTCTGGCATCTTCACATCATTTATTTTAAGCCAACATTGTTTCCAAGACTCAAAGAGCTATTCCAGCAGCAAATTGGGATCAGCTCCAGGTGAACTTGCCAGAATGTTAAAAAATTAACTCATAAAAGAGCCGTCTCATAGGAATAGATTATCTATTATCTGGTCTTACATGCTGTCCTCCCTAATGCAGCATCTCAAGACCAATTCCTCACAATGTTCTCCAGATGCCTACTGACACTTACTGGCTCAGTTCTGTAGTTCATTTGATTAATAATCCATTTCATCCTGCAACATAGATCATATTTTTCCACTCAGGCTATACTGAGACTTGATCCGAGTTATTTGTCCAGAAGCAATGAGGGGAGATGGGAGCAGAACTTGAGAACAAAAAGTATCACCTTATAAAACACCCTACTGAAGTGGAGTTTTTATTTGGCAGTTAACTATTCTCCCACTGGAAAGGGTAAAGGCCTCTTTTCCTGGGCCAGAGTTTCAGAAGTATCTCTGGGTTCAGGACTCTTAAGAGCATCTACCAAATATCTCCCCTATATTTCAGAGTCTGACTCCTTCCCTATAAGGATCCTATTGGTGAATACTTGCTAGCTTTATGAATTCAGCCTCCTTTAAAACTCTCCTTCTCCTAAAGTCAAATCTTAGCCTGATTTTCAGCATAGGCTATCCTGTAGCTGAAGGAAATGAGGCTCATTTTGATTGTTGCTTGGAGGTCTTTAAGCTTTAACACCAGATCCTGAGTTGGGTGTTGGCTGACCCAAGTCTGTAATTTTCTTCCTACAGAGTTTCTGTGGAAGTTAACTAACTCCATAATCGCATGTCTTTTAAACACAAGATCAATAGAATTTCCTTCCATCTAGAGCCCATCCCAATCCACCTGATGAGAGTTTTAGTAATTAGAGTGCTACAGCTTGCAGGGATTAACTCTACCACATTACCCAGCAGCAAGGGCGTCCTCACTGGGTGGTGATTGACTCAACTCAAGAAGCTGGTGTTGAAGATCTGCGTCCTAGGCCACCTCCATCCCAACTAACTTAGGCTGGATTTGAGCCCTCCCATAAAACCCCAAAGCAACGATTTGACTGACAGTAGTTTATCTGGGAGGTGAGCCCAGGAAGCAGCAGTAGAGCACTGGGAAGTGAGGAAAGAGGGAAGGAAGCCAATAAAGGATGAGTCAGATGGGAAGGTTTTCCTTCTGGGAACCAGGGGCTTAATCCCACTGGGGACGTCTGAGAGTCTGCATAGAGCATGCCTCAGAATCATGTTTCCTGAGGGACAAAGAACCAAGGGAATTATTCCCTAGTTCCTGCTACCATTGGTTGAGGGCTGCTCCTGGAGACATTAACTCCCTGGCACTTGTGGCCTGCCTGCCTCCTGGGTCAAGTGCTCCAGAGGTCAGGGAATGCTCTCAAAGAAAGGATTGCAAACACTTACAATAGGAAGCTGTGTGGCTGGTGCTTATGGAAACAGTGAATGGCAAGATAACATGGGTAGGACACCCAATAACATAATCTGTTATAAAAAATAAAGCTCTTGTGAGTGTATTATGAATATCAATGGAAAACAATGCCATTAAAAAGTAGTAGCTACTCGCAGCATTTCAGCACCACAGCCATTGTGTAAAGCAAGTTACCACGATGCATATTTTAGTTGTTTCTTTGTATGTTGATTGCTCTGGTACATTTCTTGATCAGAATATATGAGGATATATTCCTCTGCTTACCCAAAAAAATGTATATATACTGCTTACTTTCTTGGCCTAAATGCCGATATGAATTGTAGACACAGATGGAGTAGATTTATCTCAGTTTTAATAGTGTCCAGCAGTTTCTTTACATGCACATTTCCCATCTCCTTTTGGAAACCAAATTTTAGAAATGAGTCTTGAGAACCATGGATACACCATCAAGAAAAGAATTCACAATACTAAGAAACTTAAAGCACATTCAGAAATAGGGAAAAGCATCTTTTAATGTTTTATTTTTCACTTGTGAAAGTATATATACTATATGTTACATGTACGGAAGAGTCCCACAGCTTGAGTCAGAGAAAGCAAAGAGGGGGCACATCCAGGCGGCAGGTCTTTTCATATAGTTTTCAGGTAAACCAACAGTCGGGGCATGGCAAGTGACAATAAAAGCGACAAAAGCACAGGAAGCCTGTGTTCCTGACTGAACAGCTAAATCAGAGACGACTCTTAGGTCTGTGGAGAATGGAGGTCATCTCTGGAGACAGCACCGTTTCTACTTCATAGGTCTGTCAGACCAGCTGAGAATGTCCTGAAATCTGGACAAAGACCCCAGGGGCAGAGTGAAAGCCAATGCTTAACTTGACAGCTACTCTGCTCTGTCCCCTTGTCTTTAAGACCCAAGGCCTTGGCTGATTCCGAGAAGTAAATAACAGGGCAGACTCTGGCGCTGCAGACTTGTGGTCAGCTACAGAATTTTGTAACAGATTAAATATTTAAAAAGCTTGTAAACACTGTGCTGATGTTGGGGAAAACATAAAAAGAACATTTGCTATTTCTCTTTCTTATGGAAAAGATACAGACATATATCTTTGGCTTGCCACATGTGTATCCCTATCCTGACATTTACCCAAAATGGTAGGAATTGAGACACAATTCATGAGATGATGGGATTATTTCCATCATATGCCAGCAAAGGAGCCTACTAGGATTTGGCACAGCTAGAGCAGCTGACAACCTTGGACGACGTGAGGCGGGGCTTCACAATGTCCGGTTCAATTGACTCCATTAGGTCGCACTCATTTGCAAGTATATGTTTCACCAGGCATCTGGAGGCTTCATCGATGTTTATATTTTCCTAGGGGGAAAAGAAAAAAACAAAACAGCTTTTCTTATTCAATATTCTAAAATAATGCTGGAGCAGAGACCTATATGTGACGAAAGGGCAGTATTTGTGGCCATGCATTTAAATAGCTCTTCCTATGCCTTATCCATGCATCCTCTTTCTATTCCCCTCACTCTCATTTATTCCTTCAAAGAAGTTTACTTTTTAGTTATTCACAAAAGTGAAAATATTTATTTGTTTTATCAATTAGGAGAAATAGTGTTTGGTGGGCCCACTTAGCATGTTGAATTTAAGTTAGAGGGCACATTTCTTATTTTTACATACTCTTATAGCATAATATTGCAGAAAACATATGAGTCTTCAATCTAACTTAGGTTCATAATTGGCTTCCGCCACATACTATTTGTGTGACCTTGATATTAAATAGGAATAATGACACCTCTTAGAGCAGTCGTTAGCGGTTTCACAACTGCTTCTGGCTCTCTGCCTTCTGGCCAGATGGTAGAAGAGCACTGCTCTGCCCTCTTTGAAATTAGGCATGGGCATGGGACTTTCATTGGACAACAAAACGCGAGGAGAAATGACGTGTCTCACTCTCTCATATAGAAGCAATAAGAGCCAATGCTCAGTTCACCATGTTCTTTTCTCCCTGTTTCTGCAATCATGGAAGCACAGAGACAGAGAATTCTCCTGGCCTAGGTCTATGAATGAGGATGGAGAAGAGCCAAGTATCCCATGATAATGCATGCAGCATGAGTGAGAATTATGACCTTGTTGTTTTAAGCCACTGAGATTGGAGTTTATTACTGTGACATTACCTAGACAATCCAGATGGATATAACTCTTCAAAGGAAAATATGAAATCAGAAATATGAATCTAGTTTCAAGAAGGAAATAAGCTTCAATTTGGGAAAATGTAGAGCAAACATCCGAATCTAAAATATATTGTTTATTCAGTTACTATAGATTAAATTGTCTTCTCTCTACTAGTCATAAAACTGAGAAATACAGCACATTTACTATCAATGTACCACACAAAAAACCTTGATCTTCAGGAAAGTCAAGTTGACTGTTTTTATCACAATTTGTAGAATTCTCTGACGTGTTTCCTCACATTCAATGTAAAGAGATAAAGACTTTCTTGTCAAATTGTTTTACTCCAAAACCTCGTTGTTCAACCTGAAGTGTAACTAGTTATTCCTAATTTTTGTATGTATGTCAAAGTTACTGATATATTTTTGATATATTGATACATATCAATGGATATATTGATATATTTTTGAGATCATTGCATGAAGTTATATTACATGGCAAGTGTAAGAGGTAGTGATGGTTTCCAAATGGTCTCTATAGCTAATAACATTAGATGTAAATATTCATTAGCATGCTCCCCATTCTTCAAGTCCAGCCCTGGGTCACCTACGACAAAAGCTTAAGGTAACTTTCTGAGTTCCAGACAACAACCTGATTATATTCTCCTATTTATGGAGTCAATAGAAATGCTTCTGAGGATTTCTAAATCTAAAACAAAGTGAAGATCTGGTTGCTTTTGTATTGTTTGTGATGTTGTTGTTGCTACTGGTTTTCAACCCAGACCAGAATCACGTCTCTGAGCCTCCCTTTCCTCATGCATACAAAGGTCTTGATGGTAATACTTATCTAATAAAAAATTGCTTCTCAGGGCTAGCCTGGTGGCGTAGTGATTGAATTTGCACACTCTGCTTCAGTGGCCAAGGGTTTGTGAGTTCAGATCCCGGGCACGGACCTACACCCAGCTCATCAAGCCAAGTCGTGGCAGTGTCCCATATACAAAATAGAGGAAGACTGGCACAGATATTAGCTCAGCGACAATCTTCCTCATGCAAAAAGAGGGAGATTGGCCACAGATGTTAGCTCAGGGCCAATCTTTCTCACAAAAACACACACAAAATTCCTTCTCTTTATGGGTATAGAGGTCATTGGTGCTTTCATCAATGTGTACGTGCTGGGTACTTTATATACATAATCTTATTTATTCTATTTAAAGCCCTATAAGGTAAGGATTCATTTTTGTTCTTACTGATTTTCTTGTTATTGTTGGAGTGGGGGTGAGTGGCCTTTCCACCTTCAGCTCAGAGACTTGCCTCACTCCGTGGAAGCCAGTCCATAGAGAATACTTTACTTCTGCCCTCTTCCCAATTGGGCCAGCCACTGTGCCCTCAAGTCACTGCCCATGCTTGGCATCCTTCTGCCACTCTTCCTCTTCCTAGTGTCATGCCCAGGGGTCACATTTGAACCACCTGCTCCCAGGCAGTAATCTGACCTAGGCAGGGCTTAGTTCTTTGGGACAGACCCAGCTTCATGTTCTGATCTTGAATCTAGCTGCTTGTTTATGTGACTGATTAGCAGGCTGGTTCAGGTCCTATACTGCCTCCAATTCAAGGAAAGTTCACTTAGTCTTCCAGGCTTTGGCCCCACAGGCCAGCACATCTCACTAAACAAGTTCAAATGTGGGTGATTTCAAGGTGCTTGCCCAGCCATTAATAAACCAATACTTGTTCCCATTTGGCTATTGCTTGTGTGTTGGGGAAGGAGGCAACAAAATCCCACCCCAAATACCAAACACAGGATATCATCAGACCTGTCTACAGGTAAGAAAACCTAAGTTTAGAGAGATTAAGAGACTTCCCCAAGATCACACAGTAGATCGGTTGGAGGGCCAGAACTCACAGCGAGGTCTTTCTGACATCAAAGCCTGGCTCTTACCAAGCCATATTCCTTTTCAAGACGGTTTGAAGGTCAAGCGCAAAAACAAAAAAAGTTCTTATTATAGTGTTAGGCCCAATAGATGCAAAATAAATCTCAGTTCTTTTCTCTTTCATACGTTAGAAGAGAAACATATTTATATGACAGGAAGAACAAGTTTTAAGCATTAAAAAGGGCCCTTTTTACATACAATGTAAGTTAAATTTGCCAGCAGTATTTTTCAAACCTCTACTCATATACTAACAAGCCAGTTAAACAGGGTTTTCTTCCATTAATGTGCAAATTGGCAAAATCTACTAATGAGGAGAGGGAAATGCTAGTATAGACAAATCAATGGAAATCCATCATCACTGTGAGAAAAACAACTAAAACCTAAGCCCAATTAGTGGCAGCCTTGCAGAATCTTTTTTTTTGAGGAAGGTTAGCCCTGAGCTAACATCCATGCCCATCTTCCTCTGTTTTATATGTGGAATGCCTGCCACAGCATGGCTTGATAAGCGGTGCATAGGTCTGTGCCAGGGATCTGGATCTGCGAACCCCAGGCCCCCGAAGCAGAGAGCATGAACTTAACTGCTATGCTACCACATGGACCCCTGGGATCATTTTAATAAAAGATGAGATGATGCTGGTGAAATTGTTCGTGAAGTTTAACACACTGAGTAAAGACTAGTTGGTGTCAGGACTAGGACATGAGACCATGGAGAAAGGGGCTCTAGACAAAGGCGACCGTCAGATCCAGAGTGGCAGTGACTACTTTTTGATTGCACAGAGGAACAAAGTAGCAGTTCATGGTGACTGAGCTACATTCATTCATTCAATTAATATTATTTAGATTCCCACTAAGTACTAGGCATACAAAGACGATAAATTAAGCCCTGTCCTTGACTGAGCCTACATACTAGCAAGGTAAACAGCAAAGGCATAATAAGGTTGGAAAAGGTATCTGAGGCCAGATCACTGTAGAGCCTTGAATGTTAAGTTGGCCAGGGAGGTAACTGAGATCTTTTGCAGGTGAAGTGTCAATAAATACAATACAATGCAAATCCATTATGAGGCACACCATTCAGACTCTTGGCACTCTGTTATCAATTAATCAATCAGTAGGTATTTAGCAAATAGCTATCATGTGTACCACGGTGCTGATTGCCATGGCATATCCATTTCAAATGAGAAATTTCAAGAGGAACCCAGAAAGAAGAGCAAATTCTTATTTACCACTATGTTTACCACAAGTACACTACAAAAAGGGGAAGTGTCTAGTAGTATTTGGAGCACAGGCCTGAAGCCAAACTCTTCTCTCAGTTCCCCCACTTTCTGGTTGTGCGACCTTGGAAAAATTACTTTAACCACTACATGCTTCAGTTTCTTCATCTGTAAAAAGGGAATTAAGAGGCCTACTTTATGGGCAATTGTTAATACATTAGTACTTAGAACATGTGAAATACTTCAAACAGGGAAGGGCATAGAGCACACATTCAATAAATGTTATCTACACCTTCTCCTCACTGAATCATCAGGAGAACATGATAATATGTGTGTTCTATTCCTTCGTTTGCAGCTGAGGAAACTGAGATTGAGAAGGATTAAGTGGCTGGCCCCAAGACACACACTAGTAAGTGGTAGGGCTGGGTGTGAGCCCAGGGAGAGGAGTAAACACGAATATTTGCCACGATATTTACCATATGCTTGCTACAAAGGCTGGGTGTACAGTGTTTAGAGCACAGGCCTGGAGCCAGACACTTAGCTCCCCCCAAAGAATTCCCCAAATAGAGAAAGATTTCCCGAAATAGATGAAGGAACAGCATGGGCAGAGCATGTGTTTCAGCATGAAAAGGGTAGGAGCATGCAGTCAGGGCCTCAGGCAGGGCCGATTTGTATCGTTGGTCCTTCTGTCTTTCTACACAACATTGAAGTCACAGCTAAGGGCCTGGACCAGGAGAGGGAATAGCAAGACAGAGCATACTTCCTTATCCCCTTCTGTCCTGTCCCGGGCCAGCATGTTTAATCAAACCTTGCCTGACAGAACGAGAGGTTCAGACCCTTTGAGCAATTATATCGCAATATAATTAATTGAGCTATTTGGCATCCAAGTAGACATAACCAAGCCCACATTTTCTAGGCTGGCTTGAGTGCAAAACAGTACCTGGGAATTTTTATTTGTATTCATTCTAGAGAGTAGTAACAACATCTCCAGGAGCACCTTCTGCTATAAAGGAAATTTATATATTCTCTGACTTCCAAGACATGTACACTTAGACCAAATCTGA